TCTATGGAGTGCTCACAGGCATGTAGTTATTAACATTGCCTCATAATGTTATATGTGGAGATGAACAGACTTGCACAGGAATAAGAAAAAAACAACATCAAGGGGTGATTCTTGTAAAGATTCTCGCTACAGTCTCATTGCCAGTGATGTGATTAAAAAGTGGTTTTGACTGAGGTGATCATGAACATAGCAAAAGAACCAGAGATAATTGGGCAATCTCTCAGTAAATATTTTCACAAAGCTTTTCAACAGGAATGTCAGAACTGCTGGTTTCTTCCTTATACTGAGAGAATTTCTCCAGAAATAAGTAAATAATGGGCCAACAGCAAAATGAGGCACATCTTAAACTCTTTGCTGAAATGGTAACTTGCCATGGACACTGATGCTTGACTTGATCTTTGAACTGGTTAAAGAAGTGGCACATAAATGATTCATGTCATTCACAAGACTAGAAGCAGGTCAGCATCCTGTTTTCAGAGAGGTCATTTCTGCTTATCATTATGGGTCTATTCAGGAGACTACACAAAGCAAAAGGAATGCTAAGGTAAAGGGAAACACTTCTTCAGCACTGCTTGAGCTGGGCTGTTGGTGTGCTGGAATACCACTGCCAGTCATGGTTCACAAAGAGCTCCAAGTACAATTAGGGCTGTGTTTGTTCTATGCCAGAAGGCTGGTGCTCTCTTCCTGAGTGCCCAAATCGTGACTTGCACTAAATTAAAGGATACGACAGCCACTATCACAGAGTTTGTCAGGAGCGTTCTCAAACTACAAATAGGTGAAGGTTGCACTTGGAATACTATTTAGCCAATTATTTGTTAGTTCAAAAGGACATACTTTGCACAATACACAGAATAATACATACACAAACATCCAAGGGATCTTTAGCAGTTGGGCTGTTACACAGATCTTCTTGTCTGTTCTTGTCCTTTTTCCCCTCTTTCACAAGAGAACACCAACATCTGTAGCAAAAAACTTCTCATATCTTGAAGGCCTCAATACAGAATGGCTGATCTTCAGTTTATCAGGGCTCTGGGAATTAGAGGATCTATATTGTGCTGTTCATTTTAGGGAAGAGCAGAGGTAAGAAAATCAATGGCAGCACTAAAGAGTTGAAATTGTTTCCCGCTATAGATGCCTGCATGGATAAACAAACATTTGTGGTAGGAAGTCACACATCTAGATTACACAGAACAAAGCTTTTTCCTTATCCTAAAATATGTTGTACTTTACTTATTGGTGCTTTCGCAAAACACGTGTTCACCTTTCCAAAATACTTTAGCCCATAGAAGATTCTTGTTATGCAATAACATTACAATAAGATTTGGTATCCCCAATCAGCTTGAATTTCCTGCATCTCATTCTCAGGAAAAGATACATTGGGAATTCCGTAAAACATTCAGCCTTGCACCAACATCTGTCACAGAACATTTCAATCCAAATCATTCAAATTTGGCAAAGTTATAAGCAATAAGTAGTAGAATCTCAGGAGGAGAAGTAGCAGGCAATTTTAATATTAGCTGGCACTGCGACCTTCATTTATATTTGAGGAAAATTTCCATATGTGAAAGGATTCTCTCCAAAGTTACTGCAATTATCCTGCAATGGCTTAGAATAGTGTTCATTTTACAATCAATGCACCATGCCCATCAACAATTTAATTTCTAAACAAGTAAACTTCTGTTCTTCTGCTGCTTTCCCTGTCTTAATCCCCTATTTTCAGAACACAGAAAAATCAAGCTACATTATAATTTGGGGGAATTATGCCTATGCACGTGCAATATATCGTGGCTTTAGTTTTACCATTTAAGAACACAGCTAGATTGGGAGGAGAGAACAGTTCACCGTATGTTGTGCACACTGTTGCTGTACATAGCAATATCCTTCGGATGACTGCTGGTCTGTATTTAAATGGCTATAAAGAAAAGGCACCTGCTTGGAAGACCCATGGCAGAAGCTGTTCGACAGGGCTGAAGAGGAGTGGTTGGCAAACACTGTCCTGATAAGCATGTTCAGGGACGAATGCTCAGGCTGCCAAATATTAGCCAAAATGCCCTGCCAAAGGCAAATGCCCTGGAGGCGATAAACTGGGGTATATGCTATACAATTTCATTCTAGCGATCCTGTAGAGAGGTTTATTTTTTCACAAACTTGTGTTTTTCCGCTGAAAACAGCCCTGCCTGGCTGTGCTCATTAGGGGTTTGCGGTTTGGCAGGGACTCGTACCTCACCGACCTGCGACGGCTGGAGTTCCCCTCCCGCCCGCTCGCACGATTGCTCAAGCGCTGTGGCAACCCTAAGGCAGCTTCAGAAACACTCAGAACATAACTGCCTGTGAGGGAGGAAAAAAGGACAATGTATTCCCTGCAGCACAGCGGGTCCCGTTGAGCCTCCTCTGGAGCGCGCTGGGGAAATATCAAGGGGGAAAGTCCTGGCAGGCGGCGGAGGGCCCGGCCCCGGCAGGGCCAACGCGCGGCCGCCGGGCGCTCCGGGCATGCTGCCAGCGCCGGGGGAGGCCTCTGCCCGGGCACAAACAGCTCCTTCATCCGCGGCGGGGCGCGGAGCCGGGCCCGGGGGCGCCCCGGGGCAGGGGGGCTCCGGCCGCTCCCGCACGCGTCCCCACGCTGCCCGGGAGGGCGGCTCTTCCAGGCAGGACCGGGGGCCTCCTCCTCACCAGGTATCGCCTGCTCTCCCCGCTTGGGTTGTTTTCAGACTTGTAGTTCCAGCCGAAGAAGGAAATGCTGGATGCCGGAGCCCTTTTGCTGCCGAGCGCCGGAGAAGCGTCCCCTGGGACTGGGCGCTGCCCCCGGGCGTTCCCGCGGGCCCAGCCGAGCTTCCAGAGCCGGGGCCGGGAGGGCTCAGCACACATACCGGGGCGGGAGGGGTGAACCGCAGGGCTTGGCTGGGGGGCAGATCCGGGATCGCAGCCTCTCCCCGCACAGAGCGGCGACGGGCTCGACAGCCCCCGCCCTGCGGCGAGCGAGGACCGCAGACCTCTCCAGTTTGGGAGGGAAGCAAGAGCAGCGCTCGGCGCGTAGGTGCTGCTGCTGAAGGTGACTTGCAGGTAGCTGAGGGGGCGGTATAACCTAGCATTCTTTAGGAGATGTTTCCCGTGCATGCGAACAGCCATCTGAAGGACGAGCTGAGGCCTCCCTGGTCGGCCCGGGGTCCCCTGTGACGGTGGCTTTCTGTGGTCCCCTGTGACACCTGCTTTCTGACAGTGGTCCCTTGTTCAGAGAGGAGAGGACATCCTCGCCTTCCTTCTGTGGCACTTCCCGAATGTACATCTCACAGAGCAGCCCAAATGGCAGAAAAGGGACTAGGCCAGAGTCAAAAGGACAGAATCAGTACCTCCTCCTCCTCAGCAAACGCCCAGGAGTGGATCATGAGCACCATGTTTTTGCCTGGCAAAACCCCTCTCTGGAGTCATCTGAAGGGAAGCAACACCAAGGGTGCTTGTAAACTGGGGAAGTGAATAAACAAAAGTGATCAGCAAAAAAAAAGGAAGGGAAAAAGTGCTCCATGGCAGGCACTGACAGGGAGAGTGGGTGCCGCTGCCCTGGTAGGTGAGGAGCCCCTCCAGCAGCTCAGAAAGGCTGGAGCCTTTGCTTCCTGGTACCACAGGCTTCAAGCAATTAAAAAAAGTATTTCAGTACTTAATTACAATGAGAGTTAGTTTAAAAAAACGCCACAGGACTTATATATAGCAGGTTTTGTTTTTTTTCAGTTACTTCCTGTTCCATTTTCTGGTCAACAGTTCAGCTGGGCTTTTTCCACTGTTTATTTGGGCGTGCAAATATGCTTATTTTGGTAGGCCAGACGGGTTGCAACACAAGCTCAGAGTGGTCAGCCTGCTGTGTCTGCAGGCTGCAGCTGCAGCTGGCAGTGGGTGTGCATGTTTGTGTGTGTGTGTATGTGTGTGTGCTGGGGACCAGTATATTTATCCATATTGATCATGTTATCCACTGCTAGAATGACATTACAGCTGAAGGTTTGTGGCACTTAGTGATGATATACAGCTATGGGAGGCAAGAAAGAATAAGGACCCCCTTGTGACACATGAGGCTGGCATTGTCTACTGTTGCCTGAGTTGGGAAATGAAGTCACGTCACAAAATATCTCAGTATTTTTAAAAATAGTTCATTCTGGCTTGGGAGGAGCAGGAGGGTGGCAGGGGCATGAAACCCACATCAGGCAGCTGGTGTCCTCATTGCTGGGGAATTACAGCTCCAGGTGACTCTCTCTGGCTTCTGTCCCATTCTTCTGGCACTAAGAAGGGAGAGAGAGCTAAACAGTACCTGACACCATTTGGCTCCCTCTCCAGCAGTTACTGCAACTAATCTGCCTTTTAAAGGCTGATTTTTGCAAAACCCTCAATCTGCAGGCCTGTCTGACAGGACAAGAAATGTCCCTCTTCTGGGACTAAGCTGGGCTCCCACATCAGCTAAAAGTAGTTTCTCCTCCTGTGCCCCCTGCCCAGGCTGTGCTGCCAGGGCAGAGCCATAGGTGAGCCTTGCACTCATAGCATGGACAGTAGTTCTGCAAAGCCCGAGCTGCACTTGCTGATACCAGCTGTGTGTAGCTCTGGTTTGCACCTAGTTGATTTTTGGCACATTAGCACATGAAGGCTTGATGTGCTTCTGAACTGCAGCAGTAAGTGCTAGAAAAACACTGCATTTAGTGGGTGTGTCGTGGCCTTCTGAGCTATTCCTGTAGACTCCAGCACTGTCAGCAGCCCTTTCCTGCCCTCACTGGATTTTGCAACATTGGGATCAGTTGATATCAAACCGGCTCGTCTGCAAAAATGCTATCTGAACTGGAAAGACTTCTGAAACCTGAGCCTCCACCAAGCCACAGCTCCTCTTTCTTCCCTGGGGACAGGGAGGTCAGTCCAGAAATTCAATCTCCATCACAGTCCAAGGGCTTCAGCAAAGGAGAGTTGTGAGGGACAACTGAGAGCACATCTCTGGCAGATGCATAATGTACCCACTGCATATGTTCCAGGGCAGCTGAAAAAGAAGGACTGTGCTTGTCCATGGACTGCTGGGAGGCTCGCTAGGTGCGCTGAGAACCACACGCTATTTCCACAGCTACCAGTGCTGAGTGAGAAGGTTTGTTATTAAAAATATGTTTAGATACCTTTTTCAGAACCAATTTTCCTAAGTAATTACAGAATTATTATCCTCCCCCCCCCAGTTTCTTGTTACTAATATTCTTCGTTTCTCTTCTCCTTTCCCTAACAATTTTCCATATTGAGTTTCTGGGTGTCAGCCATGCAGGCCAGCAATTGTGGTTCAGGGTCCACTTGCCCCCCACACTGCATCCTCTTTCCCCGCTGTGAGGGCACTTCTATAGTCAGCTTACGAAAGAAGGTGTGATAATTAATATGAAGAAATTTAAGTGTTGCCCTGAGAGGAAGAAAATGGGTTGTTAACAACCCTTGGCTGTGATGCAGAAGGAATGCAATGACAAACAACACTGCCTGTTCCTCTCTCCCTTCCTACCTAGTAGAGACATCAAATTTTAAGTAGTAAAACCTCAGGGGTAACTGAGAAGCTACGTGAAGAGTTATGAGCAAGGATCTCATAAATAAACCTGACCTATCATAATCCCATGCAGTTTGTCTTGTCTAAATTTACATCAAATATGCCAAAAGCCACAGGAAGATGGGAAATCAGCCCATCATTATAACTGCAGGCACTGGTTTCCAGAAAAGGTTCTCAGAAAGCAATTAGTGAGGCTGGATTTCTAGTCAATGATAAGCAAGTCCCATAGGAGAAAGCAGAACCATAAGGGCACAAAACCAAAGGTCCATCTCACTCAACATCCTCTCCAAGAGTGAATATTGCTAGATAATATACTCCAGGAAAAAAAAGAGCCACAGGCATCCTGGTTGATGGCAAGTTGAATATGAGTCAGCAGTGCCCTGGAGGGCCAGGAGGGCCAAGCGTGTCCTGGGGGGCATCAGGCAAAGCATCGCCAGCCAGTGGAGGGAGGGGATTTTCCTGCTCTGCTCTGCACTGGTGTGGCCTCACCTTGAATATTGTGTGCAGTTTTGGGCACTGCAATACAAGAAAGATATAGAGCTATTAGAGAGTGTCCAAAGCAGGGCAACAAAGAAGGGCCTTGAGGGGAAGCTGTATGAGGAGCTGCTTAGGGCACATGTCTGTTCAGCCTGGAGAAGAGGAGACTGAGGGGAGACCTCATCGCAGTCTGCAACTTCCTCATGAGGAGAAGAGGAGGGTCAGGCACCGATCTCTTCTCTGTGGTGACCAGTGACAAGACCCAAGGGAATGACCTGAAATTGTGTCAGAGGAGGTTTAGATTGGATATTAGAGAAAGGTTCTTCACCCAGAGGGTGGTTGGGCATTGGAACAGGCTCCCCAGAGAAGTGGTCACAGCACCAACACTGGCAGAGTTCAAGAAGTGTCTGGATGATACTCTGAGACACATGGTGTGACTCTTGGGGATGGTCCTGTGCAGGGCTAAGGGTTGGACTCGATGATCCTTGTGGGATATTCTGTGATTCTGTGATGCTTGCTTAGCTTTTGACAGTAATCCCTTGATGGGATGCCTGAGCCAGCAGATGCACTCCAGCTCACCTGGTTCAAAGCTGCTAAAGGATTTATCACCTCTGAGGTTGTCCAGTCTCTCTCTTTTGGGCCCATTTAGTCCTGGCTTCTGGGAGTTTGTAGGGTGCACTGAGCTGCATGGTTCAGTTCTGCTTCGTGCCTTCGACAGTGTGAAAACTATGAACTGGCTGGGGCCAGGCACACAGGCTGGCACCTCGCTGGGATGGGCAGCCAGGTGATTGTCAACCAGGAGCTGTGCGCCACTCACCAGGACGGGTGCCAAGCTCCAAAACTTGGCCAGGACAAGGGAAAATAGAAACACTGCACCTCTTGGAGTAACAATCAGCAGTTGAAAATTCTGAGGAGTGGAGTGGAGCTGCTCCAGGACATAAAGCAACTTAGAAAGCAAGGCAGAGGGAGGCAAATATACAGGCCCTTCAGGCAGCAAGACTGGCTGGCTCCTGGGGACCACTGTCTGTTGCTGAGAGAGCATGGCAACCTTGGATGCCCACAGATCTGTCCAAGGTAGTGGGCCATGCTGGCAGGTACAAAGGCCAAGAATGGATTTGGAGACCTCCAGTCACTGGGGGCACAAAATCCCCCAGAACACAGGTAGCTTCTCTTCCCACCCTTTTCCTGCCAAGGCACCATGTCCTAAACAGTTTTTGAATGTGGACATGTAAACAGCCAGGCTGTACCATGTGAGAATATTCATTGTGTTTAATATCTAAAATTCCTGTTTCCTAGGACAGAGCTAAGCAGGTAACACAGTCCTCGGGGGCGTAGTGGGAGCCCTGCACTCCCCCAGGAGCAGGAGAACTAAGATGAATGTTCAGAAAAAGCATCTCCCACAATGGCTGGACCCTTTCCTCAGGGTAACCAATTTGCCTCCTGTGCGATTTTCTTCTGCTGCCCAGGCAGCAGCAGCTCTCATTGCTGGAGATCCCAATATTCAAACAACCTTTTTCCTTATGGTGCTAAAAAGCCAATTTCTCCAGGGCTCCATGACTTTTGCACCTGACACGATTGAAAACTCTATGGGTGCCTCACTCCCTTGGGTTTTATTAAAAAAACCTTGCCTCAAACCAACCAAAACACCAATGGTGCATGTACAGATCTCTCTCTTGCCCTTTGCTCCTGTGCTGAGGATGAAGTACTTTTCAAAAATTTGTCATTGTATCAAAGGCTGATGATTTTTTTAATCCTCACCTTAGCCTTGGTTGTGTGCAGCAGTTAGCCTTCAATTAGTTGCTCTGGGGGGCTTATGTTACATCTTGTGTGGGTATTTCATAGCCTGATGAGAGTGTGAGGCCTGATAATAGTGACATGGTATGTTGTTTCTGAATGCAGGTATGTTTCTTTTTCCTCTGCCTCTGTATCCTGGAGATGGCAGCACCCAAGGTCGCAGTGGTCGGCGCAGGAGTCATCGGCCTGTCCACAGCACTGTGCATTGTGGAGGCTTGTCCCAGCTGCTCTGTGACAGTCCTTTCAGACCAGTTCAGCCCCAACACAACGAGTGATGCTGCTGCTGGGATGCTCATTCCTCACACGTACCCAGGTTCGTGAAGTTCACCGTGGCATTGCCCATGGCACCCTATGCAGCCATGTGTGCAGGTGTGTAGCAGTGCACAGAGGCTCAGGAAGAAAAGTGCCTTAACCTGTGTTCTCTGTTTGTCCCATATCCTTGACACTCATTTGTACACTTCTATTCTTTGCATTATTCCTCTCTGCATGTTTAATTTCATTCACACGCAGGCACACCGATTCACGTGCAGAAGCAGTGGTTCAAAGAGACTTTCGCTTACCTTTTTGCCATCAGCAACTCAGCCGAGGCGTCAGAGGCTGGCATTCACCTAGTCTCTGGGTAAGAATGACGCCCTGGGGCAGTCTTCGGTGTGTTTGTGCTGTGTTCTGGTGCAGTCAGAGAGGTTTTCCTTGCTGGAGTTCAGGTGTATTCCCTTCATGAACTAGCTTTTATGACTGTATTCCCAAGAAACTGCATTGCAACTGCTCAGACATGATGTATTTTTAGGCAAAATTCATGCATAGGTGTGCACAGAAAAAACATTCAAGAATGACCAGTGCCTATTGTATTTCAATAACTGATGTTTTCCTCACTGTCATCCACCAGTTGCTTGCAGCAGGGGTGGTCTTCATAGGGATGGGACTGCAGGATCTTCCAGCTTCAGCAACTGGGTACAGGGATGCAGTTAGGGGTGTCCATCGTTATCTCTCAGGCCTCTCACTGGGTAGCTGAATCTGGCTTTCTGGGCTGAACACCTGTTTGGTTTCCCACAGGGTTGGGTGTGTTCCGGGTGTTTTATGCTGCCTATTACGTACACAGAAGTTTGCCTCTTGGGAGTGTTGAGACTGGGCACTCTAACTTTATGGGTACCCAAAGAACTATGAGCAGGTGTGGGGACCCCTGGTGGCCTAGTGGTTAGCATGCAGGACTCTCACCTCTGCGACCCAGGTTCGAATCCCAGCCAGTCCCCCGGGCAGATGGAGCCCGTTAGCCCTGTAAGGCCATCCATCTATGAGAAGGTCACTCTAAACAAACCTACGTCCTGAGGACTTCACTGCCATTGTCCAAGCTTGCTTGGCCCCGGCAGATGAACCTTAGGATTAAAGGGTGGGCTCAGTTCAGCGCAGGCTGTGTCTCACCTAAAAAATCCATTGCGCAGGCTGGAAAGGTAAAAAGACCTTTCCCCAAATCTTCGTTCACGAAGACTGGCCATTATTATATTATTATTATTATTATGAGCAGGTGTGCAAGTGGCCCTACCAGGTCCAGCCAGGTGTCTGCAGTTGTGGCAGGGACACTGTACATGGGAACTCTGTACATACACTATTGCTGGAAGAACTCTCTGCAGTTTATTTACCCCAGTGTGTCACCCTCAAGCTTGGCTGTGCCAACCCTCTGCCTATTTGTCCAGGCAGGTATTGCAGTAACAGGCAGCAAGGTTTCCCTGTTGCTATTAACCTTGCAGAGCTGTACCGATGAGCAGAATCAGGTTCCTCAGCTCCTGAGTTTATGCTAAGATTGATGAGACACAAAACACAGCAGAGCACTAGCAGTGAAATTTTCTAGGTTTTTCTCTGTGTCCTTTTAGGTGGCAGATCTTTAAAAGCACTCCCAAGGAAGAGTTACCTTTCTGGTCAGATGCAGTCCTGGGTTTTCGACCAATGTCCAAAGCAGAACTCCAGAAGTTCCCACAGTACCAATTTGGTCAAGCCTTTACGACACTGAGATGTGACTGTCCACCATACCTGCTGTGGCTGGAGAAAAGGTTGGTTTTGCTGCAGGCTGGGCATGTGGAGAGAAACTCAGGCAGAGGGACTGGGGGCAAGATGAGCTCTCTTTGAGAACCTTAGATTTGAACAAAACTGGAAAAATGCTGTTTGCCACTGAGGAAAATGCAACAAGCTCTTCCTTAGGGAGAAGCACAGGAAATAAATACCCAATTTTTAAAAAATGTGAAAGGACCCATTTATGCAATGTCTACTTTCTCCCAGTGTGTCTGTACAGTGGGGCTTGGAGTGTGAGTGACCCTGGGCAAAGGACCAACCTAGCCACAGGAGCCATGCTTGGCCAGCTAGACCTTGAAGGTACATCAGGAACCTGCCATGTCCTAAGAAAATGTTTGGGTGATCCTCATTTGTCAAAATTCCCAAATAATATCCCTCTGTTTTTGAAGATACATCCAGCTCCTGAGAGAATAGGCATGTCTAGGAAGGTGTCTTATCTGTGAAGACTTTGAACTTAAGAAGTGGCTGGACCAATTAATCTCAAATTTGGTCAACAGTTGGAGTAATTTCTTAATCCAGTCAGGTGAAAAAAACCTGTTAAATAGCATCATCTTGTAACAAACCTTCTGAAAATGTTTGCCTGCATAAGATAGGTGATGCGCTCACTCTGAGGAGTTTTGGCTTCAGAGTTCATGCCTGTATTGACAGCAAAGTTAGAAGATTTGCTAATTTCCAAATTTCTAAGTTTCCCCAAAATACATGGATTTTGGAGAACTGTAGGAGAGATAGGATGCAGATCAAAAAGGGCTTTGACACCTGGAATGTGTATTTTATCCATGTAAGTACCTCTAAAGTGAGCAAATAGCTGTCTCTGATTGAGAGAAAATGATAGGCTGCGAACTGATTTGAGGTTAAGTAAAGAGATGTGTACTGACACCAAGGTACAAATTGCCAGCCAGCTCAACTGGCTGCCTTTCATCACACTGCAAAATGTGAAAAAAGCATTTCTTGTTCTAGCAGCCAGACAGGCTGGGAGTACTCCCGTGGCACCAGTGCCATGTGAGGTTTGTGCCATCTACTTGGTACACATTCTCTGTCATGTTTCATTGCCTAACACAAGCAATCTCTGCTGCAGGACAACTAAGTTGTACAACCCATTTAGTATCTGCTGTGAGATTTCTGCCCTCTCCTCATTCCTGCTCTAGTCTTCTTATTTCTCAAAGAATATAGTCTAATGAGATAATGAAGCTCTTTTTCTTTCTCTTCTCCCTGGTGATGAGAAGTGAGAGCATATTAAACATGTAACTAATTCTCAAATCCCTGCTGACCTGAGCAGTGTCTATAGACTATTCTCTTGGCAATTCACAAGGAAAATTGTTTTTGTGTCTACCTGGCTGGTCCAAAAATAGGCTTCAGGATTTTTTTCCGGCTTACTTGCCTGAATCCTGGAGTTTTCAGAAGTTTTTTTTTTTAATTGATGTTTTTTTAATGGCATGATGACAGCGTTCCAATTACAACACTTATGAGCTCTCCCAGCAAGTTGCCCCCCCAGAGCTGCTGCAGGAGACCTCCCCTGTTCTTCCCAAACAGCTTCAATGTCCTGCTGCACTAGGCCTCAGAGCATCATCTATGCCCTGGATCCTTCTCTCACTCACTGCTTTGTGGGAAACCATTGCATTTACAGTGAAGTTGATGTCTTTGCCAGCTGCTGGAATATTGCAAAGGACAGGATTTCCCATCATTATCACAGACCTATCTCCTGACTTGCTCATGCTAAAACCCCCCAGTAAAAACCCCCAGAAACTGGAGCCAGCTGACAGCATGCAGTGACTCTATCTCATGCCAGTGATTTTCCACAGGGAAGAGCTTCAAGCTTCAGGCAAGTTCAGGGGAGGATTTGGCTTGAAACTGAGCTTAAAAATGAACGTCAAGAGGAGGTGACTTGCTGAAGAGCAGACATGGATCTATAGTGCTCTGAGCTGTCCTGGGTGACTCCTGGCTGCTGCTCTAGGAGGCTGTGTGTTCCCTGGGGGTCCCATGCCACATCTGCCTGGCCTGCATGGATGTCTTAGGGCTTGGCACATAGCACTAGATGACTGTGTGGCTCAGGAGGGGTGTTGGGAATGAATGTGATGGCATGTAACAGGCACATCAGAAGGGGTGTAATATGATGGCTCTGTCACCAGCATGAGTAAGTTGGTAAATAAATCTGTTGGTTTTCTGCTTACTTGAGCTGTTAAAGCTTGGTACTGTTACAGAAATGAATCAATGAGACCATGAGGACCTGACTGTCTGCCTAGGGTCTTCTGCCAGACCCTTCTATAAAACTGATCAACTTGCTGTATCTTTTCCAGCCCAACCAAGCTAAAAAAATAGCTTTGATGAGATCAAATCAGAGATCAAATGACAAGCAGAACCCCCATGGCATTTTCTTTTCTTTTTTTGTCCCATCTGTTATTTGGTTTTGATCATTATGTAAAGGCAAAGGCAATCTATCTCATTTACTTAATGTTCATAATAATTAATGAGGGATTCGAGGTTTCTTTCCTGCCTCACTTCTGGAGTCTTTTTGCAGGTTGAAAGCAGCTGGCGTCCAGACGTACAACAGAAAAGTTTCAGACTTGTGGGAGCTGCACAGTGAATATGACATCGTTGTCAACTGCACAGGCATTGGAGCCCACCAGCTAGTGGGGGACAAGAAACTCTTCCCTGTCAGGGGACAAGTACTCAAGGTTTATGCTCCTTGGGTGAAAAACTTCATCCGGGACGGGGATGGCTTAACTTACATCTACCCAGGGATACACAGGGTAACCCTGGGGGGAACCAGGGAAAAGGAGAGCTGGAGTCTCTCCCCTAACCCTGGCACTACCAAAGACATCTTTGACAGATGCTGCTCCCTTGAGCCCTCACTGCGGGAAGCTCAGGATATCAAGGTGAAGGTGGGCCTGAGGCCATCCAGGCAGTGCGTGAGACTGCAGAGGGAGGTTTTGAGCCAAGGAGGAGTTAAGCTCCCAGTGGTCCACAACTATGGGCATGGGGCAGGTGGCTTTTCGGTGCACAGGGGCACAGCCAAAGAGGCTGCTCGCCTGGTGGGAGAGTGCATTGCTGCCCTGCGAGGCTCTTCATCAGGGGCCAAGCTTTGAATCTCAGAGGTTCCTTTTCCATTTACAGCAGGCTAGTGTTGCATCTCCTAGTAGCAGCTTGGACTTTTACTCTATTACAGAATAAAAGGAAAGAAACTAAGTCAACAACTTGTGTCATTGCAGATATTCAGTGGTATCTTACCTGGCTTCCAGCTGCTACCTTGGAAGGGCATGGTGGTTTGCTCCAAGTATTGGTCTAGCTGTTTGTCTCCTCTGTGTGGCATTGTTGCTGCCCTGGGCCTTTGTCCTAGCCTCATGTTAAGAAGAAGACGAGATACATAAATACTCTCCACATAACAGGGATCACATTGCTGCAGTATAATACAAATAACATCAATTTAGCATTTTTGCATCTAAATGGTGTCAGATGCACTAGGTTCAGATTCAGTAAAAATCAGTCCTCTCCTCTTGTGCCAAATCTAATCTAGTATTGCCCTTGCTCCTGCCATTCCTAACAAATTTTATCATTGACTATATAATATACAAGGAAAAGAAAACCCCACACAGTGCTGCATTGCAGGGATCCAGGTCAGCTCTTACAATGTTAGGTCATTGTCTGCCACAGTGATTTTAAGATCAGGTCTGTGATACTGATCACTGCATTTGCTCATATTACACCTCAGAGAACTTAGTTTCTGCTAACATTGCCCCATATGAACTACGGCTTTGTGCATCTTTTCTCACACGTGTTTGCAAGTCTGTTTTTTTCCTCCAAGTCTCTCAGATTTTGCTTTCACAGATGATTTCCCCCCCACCCTGCATAGCAACATTGACATGGCCTGTGTTCCACAGAACAGGATTTTTCAGAGTGGGCTTGGGAATGAAAGCATCTATTTTCTACTTCACATCAACACTGTCTGCATTCCTTGCAACAGCTGATATGAATAAATTGGAGACAAACCAACAAGGATTCTAACACCAGGATCAGTTTCATAAAAGAGAAGAGCCATTTAAGACTAGATAAACACTGTAAAGACAAATTTGTCTGTAATGGGATGTGAGCAAGCTCCTCTTCTGTAAGAAAGCTGAGTCACCAGAGCCCAGACCATCTCACTCCATGGCAAAGGCCGAGCTGGGCTTTACACTGCCCTCGGCAATTCAAGCTCTTTGATGTGGCTGAAGATAATCACTCCCCAAAACTGGATCTTACTATCAAAGTACAAGTCTGATTGTTAGTGATTAAACTACTCATTAGATCTTAAATGTCTCATTTAAGAGTATCATCCACTTTTGTCTATTTTTTTGTCCTTAGAGTTACAAAACTATTCAAAATCCTTCAAGAATTTACATGATTAAAATGGACTGTATTATAAATAAAGTTCTAATAATGGAGCACAGGTCATTTCTGTAGTGTTTCCTTTCATAAACAAGGGGTTTTCTTTCATTTGAGATGGCCTGACACAGCCAAGAAAGGCCACATTCAGTCATGGCTGCCAACTTCTGCTGTTCTCACTGGGGATGAGGACAGTTATCCTTTGCAAATGACAGCTGTCAGAAGAAACATCACCAAATTAAATTATAGGTCAATAAGCACCTGGACCAGCCTAAGCCAGCCCTGCCTTCAGTAGCCTTGCTCTCTTTTTTTCTCAGCTTTGAAGGCTAATTTTGCATTCCCCCCTCCATCCCCCCGCATTTGTGCTTTCCAGTGGTATGAGAGGGCAGAGCTGCTGCTTTTGGCAGCAGTGTTGGTGTAGGGCTTGTCAAACTGCAGCTTTGTCCTCAGCTAACACAGAACATAAAAATACATGGAAAAAGAACATGAGAAAGGGCTATTTTTTTTCTTAAATCTTTATTTTAATCTTAAAAAATAGCAAACAGTGTAGCTTGTCCTGGAGCAAGAAACACTACTGATGCTAATAGGGTGATTATAGCCCCATGAGAAACTAAAGCTGTGGTTGTGCACTTATGCTCTGGAGGGCCATGGGGTTTCTTCCAACTTACTTCTAAAAGTTGTCTGGTTGATAAAAATGTCAGAATGGTTTCAGCTGCACCCCTCAGTCTGGTGTCCTAGCTCTGGTCATGGCCAGCAGAGGGGACGGCCACTTCTAGCCTAGGGTCTTCCTCAGCTGAGGGGTAGCTTCATGCTTTAGATGATTCATCTTCCACACATTTGTTGACTTGCTTCTAAAGCCATGTATGGTGCTTCTGTAAAAACAGGTTCTGTAAAGAGAGACACTTCTTCGCCCAGGAGCAGAGCTCCTTGTCTTTGTCTTGAACCTGAAAACATCTTTTGATGCCCCTTTCTTGCATCTTATGAGGGGTGGTGACTAGTTATTTTCCATGATCCTTCTTGATTTTATAAAGCTCCACCACACTCCCTCTCGGACTCTTCTTTTCCACCTTGAAGAATCTTGATTTACATAATACATAATTACATAATAGCTGCTAACCACATAAAATCATCCTATATCTTTGGTCATCCTTGCTGCCCATCTTTATACCTTTTCTGACTCTAACATACCTTTTTGGAGATTGAGGGACCAGAACTGCACACCGTACTCATGATAGGGGATGAACTTTGTATTTAATTAATGACATAAATTAGGATACAAGCTCTTTAAGAAGCACAGGCAGGGAGGACAAGGAGGGGCTGTTGCCCTCTATGTCAATGACTAGCTGGAATGCAAGGAGCTTCACCTGGGGATGAGTCAAGATCTGACCAGGGGACTGTGGGTCAGGATCACAGGTAGGGCAGGGACAGGTAACATTATACTGGGGATCTGCTACAGGTCACTTACAACACTCATTTGCGACACCCGACCAAGAAGACCAAGCGGTTGGGGCCCTTTATAGACTGACAGGAGCGGCCTCATGTTCATGAGCCCTGGTCATCATGGGGGACTTCAACCTCCCCTATGTTGGTTGAAGGGACAGCACAGCAGGACATAAGAAATTTAGGAGGTTCCTGGAATGCACTGATGACAACCTCCTTCTCTAAGTGATAGAGCAGCCAACAAGGAGAGGCGCTATGATGGACCTTGTTCTCAACAAGGAGGGGATGGTGTCCCAAGTGAAGATGCCTCTCAGGGGTCAGTAGTGGGGCTGGATAGTTAGGGGGTCTTCCTCCCAACTCAGCAAGGTGTTTTTCTCTGCTGTTAGCCACACTGAATTTCACCTGCTGTTACTTTGCCTGGACTTGTGAGATGGTTTTTGCAGATCCTTGCAAGCAAATTTGCATTTTACTACCTTGAATAAACTTGTACCACCAGTTTATTAATTGAGCCTTTTACTGCCTGACTGATGGATATGTGGATGAGCACTGGCCCTACCACTATCCCTCTAAGATGCCATTGGTGACTTCTCTCCACTGTGAAGAATGGATGATTTATCCTTACCTTGTCTTTATCCTGTATGCAGTTGCTGACTCATGAGAGGATCTTCCCTCCTACTCCATGCCAGATTAGCTTCTTTATGGGTGACAGATGTTATTAAAGGCTTTCCAGAAGCTGAGCAGATCATACCAAGCAGATTGCTCTATTCTGCAGCTTCACTGTATCCTCTGAAGATGTAAGAGGGTGGTAGAGCACAGCTTCATGGGTCCTCACTGCAAAGCTCTGCCAATTCTTCCCTCTTAGCCTGTGTCTGTCCTTGCAACTATTCTATTACTATGGCTTTTGCTGTTTGTCTGCTACAGATGTCAGATATAGTGGTTTGCAGTTCTCTAGATCCCTCACAGCACTAAAAGAAAACTGTATCACGTGCCATCCTCTTTTTTCTTTGGCTGATTTAAGTAAAAGCTTATACAGCAGCTCTTATAGTGCAAGAGTTTGCATTAGCATGCCTTAAAACCCCACAAGCGAGTAACATCTGCTTCTCATGAATTTGTTACTATCCCTTGCATCAATTTGTTCTAAAGCCTCATCTAATGGCCCTTCGATCTGTGGCAGCTTCTCTGCATTATCCCTTTAACAAGCGATTCTGCCGTGGGAATTTCACTAAGCATTTCTATGCTGAAGCCAGACACAAGTAATCCGTTTAGCTGTTGTGTTAGGGCTTGTTTTCTCTCAAACTCCTTTGCCACCCTGATTGTCTGCTGACTGCACACCCTGGTCACTGCAGAACTCTCCAGCAGGTTCCTTGCTCCTGCTAGGATAGAGAAAGCTTTTTGTCTAGTAGCAAGTTATTTCCTGAGAATCTTTTTTAATCTGCCTTTCTGTATCTGCTTATAATTTGACAGAGTTCATGTTCTTTTCCTCATTTGGATGGGATCTATTTTGGTTCTTTCCCATGTAATTTTTACTATGCTATTACAATGACCCAGTAATTATCTCTGTTCTGAGATCTCTCTGATATTTCAATATGGTTATATAAAAATTGAGGATTTTAGACTTGTATCTTATTTTCATGCTTATAGCAAATAGAAACAAGCATATATTCAGCCCAATTGCTCCAGTTCCTGTGCCCCATTAAAAGGGGCTTTATTTGTCCGGATTGTGCCTTGCTGTTTCCTGCTTACTTGTGGTTATAAAGAGGTCAAAATGGCACCTGTAAAGATATGCCATCAAGAACCACTGTTCCTCCCTTCCTCCTCACTTCCCCAGTCTCTAGCTTGAAATTCCTTTTTAAATCTTACTCTTTCTCACAGCGGTTTTCTCCCTGACTAAGGTCATGCCATACAAAGACTGAGCACTCTACTCAGGAACCTCAGCTTTTTGTTCCAGAAGCTTACAAGTTGCTTTCAATTGTAGGACATGAATATGTCCTATTATTTTGGAAATAACTGCAAATCCCTCCCCTATTTTTCTTACCGGGCGTGGAAAATTTAAATAGTCTAAAATATATCCTAGATATATAGCGATGCTGCCCTGTGCTGACTATAGACCCACCCACAAAGGGGAGTCACACTGTTCAAGTGCCTGCAAGCCAGATCACTGATACTGACTGCTTCTAGGCTTTAGGCAGCTGAAATTTGTTGAGATGAGTCCATCCTCTCTTGGTTCAGCTGCCTACCCTCAGGTGTCAGTCTCTGGCAATAACTCATCATTTGTCCCTGAGTTTCTCTTCCTCACCCAAGACTCTTGCATGGAGCTGAAGCAAAGATGTGGCCTCTATTACCTCTCCAGCTGAAGCTGAGCCAGCAACTTAAAAATTTTAAAAACTCCATTTTGATCTTAAATCTGTTTGTGCTGCTGCAACAGTTCTGTAGTTTCCATCTGGAATCACAGAACAAGTGTCAGGGAAACACTTGCAGGTGGGAGAGGATTAACAGCAGAAGGTTCATTAAACCTCCCTAACCTCCCATGCTGATGAAAGGTGCCTTCAAAGAAAGACATAGCTGTGACCTGTGCAAAGCATTTTATCCCTGTACTGTTCCTTAATCCTATGCATGTCTGGACAAAAGTTATCCAGACTGTACTTAAGTATTTCCTTCTTATTTGTACTTTCTGATCTACATTGAATAGGCACCCCTGGCAGGTGGCAACCAATTTGTCACACTCACATGGAACATCAAAGGTATAATTACGGTATAGAAAGAGAACAGTTATATCTTGAGACATTTTTATCAATCCTTGCGATTGCAGACAGCAGGTTAGATGTATGATGGATTTTGGAACTCAAGCACAAAAGAATAGTTTTCTGCAACAGGGAATTGTGTTGATTTTCTTCACAGAAACAATGCCATAAAGACATATTGTTTTGATAGTGGCTTTTGACTCTGTTTAAAATTTTGCCAAATTTCTGGAAAATACATGAAAATTAGCATTGGCCATTCATTACCATTCTTTTCCAGACGAGGACTATTTGAGATAATATTCCAATTCATTAGGAATAAATGTAGCACTTAGAGAGAACATCATGGCCTAGACCGAGATTTTTATTGTTTTCATGGCACTCAAGTAAGTATGCTATGCTGTACGATACTCTATTTTATCGTGCTTTATTCCCTGTTTTCCACCAGAGGGAGATGTTGGATCAAGCAGTTGCTGAAAGAAACCCTGCACACTGCATCTCAAAGAACAAATGCAGTTATGCTGAATTCAGTGGAAATCTGGGTGCCTGTCAGGCTCCCACAAGGCTGGGAAGATATAGGTGCTGCAATAGAGTTTAAAAAATTATTATGAATCAGTTACTCATGGAGAATGCTTTAAAAAGTACATAAAGAAAATAGAAAAGTGAAAGTAGCAGCATACCTGAAGCTGTTAAGAGAAAGTAAGGAATCATAATCCTAGACAAAGCTGCTGCTATAGCAGAGCTTTTCTCCCATCAAAAGTCTGGCAGGGAAACAACTTCGGGTAGCTAAGTGTCCTTGGTTCCTCCTGGTGTGGGGACTTGTGGTCCCCCAGCCTCATAAGCTGTGCCTGGGCTGGACATCTCATGGTGGGGTCCCTGTGGGGCTGCAGC